CTTACACCTATAGATAAAATGCACACATGATTTGGATCATCACCAAATTTAAATGAATAATTCGCTGCCATGATGTACTCCACTGGTAAAAATATGTCAGTAAAAATCAGTTCATAAGTTGACTCTGCTAAAAAACCAACTACGTTACCTTTCTTTGTGTTTTTGTCTGTAGTAATGCTGAAGCTGTCAATAGTTACTGCTGCCACCCTCTGGTTTAGTGTGGAACTGCCTGTTCTGCCAAACTATCCCTTTACAATGTTAGAGCATCTTTACAAAAAAAATAAAATAAAAAATCCAGTATCCAGATCATAATCTGTATCAGTACCAACATTTTATGGATTTTTTTCTTGGCATGAGGGACACCTCTGTTAAAAAAACAAAACCTTAAAATCTCCTACACACAGACAAACAAACACACAAACCCTACTAAAAGCATAAGCCCCATTTACACTACCTTTTTGAAACCGCGCTGCAATCGGTCCAAGCGCATTAATTGAGATAACTGTTGAGTGTATATCTGGACTGCGCCCAACACAACCGACCCACACTAACATGGAACTAGCACATCATTCGGGTTTGGCGCTGTTCAGTTCTAGCTAAGTTTTCAGATAACAAAGAGCGAATGAGAAGACCACGTCATCTCCTTACAGTCAGCCTCCTTAATCATGAAATTTCAGACATAAAAATACTAGTTTCCCTACGTGCCACATGGTTCCCAGTGAGGATTCTGCTTGGCAGTGTGATGAACCTCATCTCCTGTCGTTTCCTGCATCTTTTCTGCATATTGTTTGTCGTATCCACTTCCCAAATGCCGACTCTGTCAAGTAAATTCCCCAAAGGCTGCCTTCTTCCCCTGACTGTCCACATACTTCCTGAATGTTACAGGCGCCGCCATGTTGATTTGCTTGTTTACCTCTAGAGAGCAGTAGTACTATAGATTGACACTAGGAGAACAGGAACCGTGCTAGCGTGGTGTAGGACGTAAGAAACAGAGTTCGGCACGATTAACCGATCTGAGCTCGGCACGGATCGGTTTTCAAAGAGTAGTGAAAAATGGGGCTTCAATCTCCTCGGCAAAAGTAATAAATATCATGAAATATAGTCTTTGTCTGCTCATTGACCCCCCCACCTCTCACCGCCCCCACAGAGAGGGAGTCACAGTGAGATTTACAGCAGATTATGCTGTAAATCAGATAATCAGCAGATTATGCTCCAAACAGCTGGATTCACATTACATACATCTGTAACAGTAGTTTGGATTAGTCATTATGACATCTATGATGGTAGTTCCAGAGAGTTAAATTAGCTGATTAGATGTTACAACAGTTTGCTATACAGGCAAATGGTTTATGGGGGAAAAAAACCCCAAAAACAATGTGAAAAATCTGCAGCATTTACACCTTAAGTAGCAGTAATGATAATGAGATGTTATTGTGTACATTACCTTGTCCCAGAAAAAGAGGTAGGACTGACTAAACTCAAACTCCTCTACATTAAACTTCTTCATGAAGGGAAGTCGCATGACGTTGAGGCACGAGAAGATCCAACATCTCCCTGTTATTAAAAGACAACAGTAAAGCAGTTAGTGCGGATATGACAGGAATCTGCTAGAACAGACCACGGGCTGCTGCTCATGTTGCCTCAGCGCTCAGGTCA